AATAGTTATTCGATTTCCGTGCCACAGGCTAAGGTGGTGTAGTGTAATTGGCGCCCTTCACCACGCATGCGGTCTAGTGGGTTAACCCGTGCTCGAGTCCCCCTCAGGCCAACCAAGCATTCCATCCATCTGACTCCTGTTCCTTTGTACAACACTCGTAATTTAGACCTCAGCTGTCCATCGCAAGCCTTAGAATAGGCATTACTGCATTCCGATTCTACCACAGTTTTGAGTCAATGTAGAACGTGCTGGGCATCCCAGAAAGAAGTGACCAACGCCAAAACCTTTGGTTTTCATTCTACAAATCTGGGGCTATTTTACGCTTCTTTCTCATGATTATGAGATATTATTTAGCTCAAATGAGATGTTCTTCTGATTGAAAATAGAGCTCAAGTACCAATTTTTCCTATTTTTTTTCAGTTCTTAACTCCAACTTTTTAGGCCCTTCTACGTGACCAGCGTTTCCACTCCACGTCAATAGAAAATCCGAATCATAATCTTCCGACACAGGTCTACTTTGAGGTTTTGTTCACAGACAACAGTTCCAATAATTCTTCGGTTTTCAGGTTTCTAAGTGCTATGACTGGAGTGGCAACCAAATGGAAAACAGCCAACTGCGCAGTGCAATACTGTCTGAGTTAGAAGGCCTGGTGGTGATTAATGGCGTCGGTGTGATGTGGGAGAAAGCCAGTGTTGCGGCGAACGTGACGTTTGCAGCCTGGCTTAATCACATGCGCGGGCATTCGCATTACCAGTAATCTAATTCGAAATAATTTCGCGTAAGTGCTCTGCAAACAATCAAGTCACTTAAGTATAGAAGTATGCTATTTCCTTTCTGCGCGTCGCCCGCAACGTTGGAATGTTTCTCACTGCACTAACACGTTCAATGGCGAATTAACCAAATATCTCTTAGATAAGTTTTCGTTGCTAACGCCTGAAATTTTATCTCGAAAAAGTTTGTTTCAAATAAAAAAATTTTAATGGTAAAGTTCAAAGCCGCTGTTCGGCTTAGGAGGGGGTTTCGCCAGTTCCTTTTGCTACTCCAAGTTAATTAACTTGTTGCACTTAATGTAAATTCCTGTGAAGCTGAGAAATGCGTTGTAAGTGAATCCAATTCGCCGTCTCAGCAAGTTTCAAGTCTCCCACGAGTGTGGTCTGAAAAACAGCTTTTGTTAGGTGTATGTATGGTGGCCGCCCATCAAAAGCCGAACAGCCGCCGAAAAATTCCTCGAAAATTCCTTCAAAAATTCGATGATTGACTTCCTCTTAAGCTTGAAACATCACTCAATTTTCAGATGATAGTGGAAATGGTGTGTTCCGTCGAACTACGAGTGTCCTTGCAAGAGGTCGAGGAATGCTTGGAGGTAACTGAATGATTCCCTGGTCCAGTTCCTGAGGCTAAGCGAGTCAAGGGGGAGGCAGTGGCTGTGACTAGATCAAATCTTTCTCTGTTCGTCTGATCTCTCTTGGTCTGAAAAAGGTGCAGCAGACGTCTAGAAAAAGGCGTGACCTTGTCTCGCTGCCACCCTCCCCGCTCCCCTTCCCGTACTCTGAACGATCGTTCATTCAGCTCTGTATGAGGATATACGGGTCCACTCGCGAAGAAGCGGTTCGAGTTTCTGCGCGCGCAGCCGTCTCTCAATCGATAACCACCTATTGCTCCAATCGATACGCGGCTGGAGTGAGTGCTTTATGATTGCTAATTTAAATAACTTCATCGATTTGAGGCAAACTTCAGGAGGAGACGCAGAACTTCCTTTCGGTTTATCTAGACGTGACGAAACTGCTCGAAAGCTACATTGCCAAGCTCGACCAGCTGACCGTATCGTCAGACCAGAGCGTGGTCCTTTTCGACGCCATGAATGCTCTCCTCAGCTCACAACCACTTGAGCGTTCAGAAGCATACACCACTGGTGAACCTGCTGTGGTAAGCACAGTTCTGCGTTCTCTATTAAGCGGATGGTGGTCAGGAGGTCCACGTTGCGGTAAATTGCCAACACGTGCAGCTTTCACTGTATACGCGCGCACGACAGCACACGCGACGTCACTTTTAACGCAACACCGCAACTGAACCTTCTTATATGATGGTCTTTCTACCTCCCCTCTCGCCATCCCTCTTCACACTTACATGGATTTAACTAGATTTCTCTAAGATGGTAAACTCTCTTGACCCTTACGGCTCCAGAAGCTGCTTAATCGCGTAACCGCAGCAGGCGGGGAGGGAAGGTGGCCCCTCTAGGTTCATGTGCTTTCTAGAGATATTGCTAGACTGCTCCGTTGAAGGCACGGTCTGTACGGGCGGAGTCAGCCCTAACACTGTGGCTTCCTCATTCCTTATTGTGCGCCCCCCCCCCATTCTATGGTAAGAGTGAAAACAGGAGGAACGCACTAGGGAGGAAGGCGTCATGGTAGGCCTGACTTTGCCCACAGAATCTGCATGGGCTATATTTCCGAGGGGTCCCTTCAACGACAACTCAGTTCGCTTTTTCGTCTGACAGTCACTGGTCAATCAAAACCGCTCTTCTTTTCAGGGAAAAGCTCTGTCCGTTGATGATTCGCTTGTTAGGGGTTCCTGATAGAAATGTCCCGGACCATCCCTCGATCAGCACCGAAGAACCTCTTGGACAAGGTCAAATGGCTAAGTTCACGCTCAGTCCGGCAGTGGTAGCGAATCCTGAAGCAACTCGCGTACTCTACCAGTAAGTCAGTTCCCCACCACACGATAGTGTATGTTTAATTGAACGTTCTGATTCAGGATTTTGGAACAACTGATCCGAATCATGGCCGGTATACCATCAGTGAATTCAGTTCTTGAAGCTCTTTTTCACAAGGCATTTCTCTTCCCGAAAATTGAACAACGAGCTGAAGCGGTCAGAATCATTAAAAAGGTTCGTTAATTTCATATCTGACCGTTTTGGTGCGACACTAAAAGGAAAACATGCGTATTCTTGGCCTCACGTACAAGCCCAG